TTTTTTTTTTGACCAGATGCTCACAGATTCACAGCTATCGCGGGTGTGCATAATAATTTGGTGTCTAGTTGCATATCTGTTAATCCATTTTAGTTAAACTGGAACAACAAGGGACTGCCGTCAGACACACTGTCGCAAGAGAATGCATTAATACTGTTCAATACCACTCAATTTCCATTGATAATTGACCCGAGTGGACGTGCGTCAATTTTCCTGGAAAAACTTCTGGTTGACAAAAAAATAGAAAAAGTGAATGTCAGTGACGCTAATTTCATCACACAGGTACCATTGTGATTAATCAAGATATCACAATTAGCACGGGCCTCTCACGTGAAAGTATTATCCATTGTCGTGTGGTACTGTAACAATCCAGGACCGGGAACTGCGCAAGTGGCAGAAGATGCAGGCGACGGGAGTAGCATTGCTTATTTTGGCCTGCATTTTCTCACCATCCGGCAAACACCAGCCTGTCCACGGTTATGTAGATGCTGTGGCAGACACTGCACGTGGTATTCATCCTGCTTATAACGCTCCGTTAATTGCCTCAATTTTTGTTTCGGAAAAAAGAAAGGTCGAGTGGACAGCCTAGTCCAGCAAGCGGGCAATGCTCAAAAAATATCTAAATTTGTTGCTTTACAGGTCGAACTAGCTGTTCGCTTCGGCAAAGTTCTGCTTGTGGATGATGTTAATTCGGTCGAAGCAAGCCTCATGAATCTGCTCCGAAAAAATTTCTCACAACAAGGCATTTTTTATCTAGCATCGGGCGGTGTTTAGCATCGCCTCCTTTATTCGGAGTCATGAAGCCTGTATTCGGAGTCATGAAGCCTTTATTCGGAGCCTGTATTTTCATTCAAAAGACACAGAAAGCTGGTATGAAAATAGACATTGTCTATTTTCATACCAGCTTTCTGTGTCTTTTGTGGATTTCAGAGTGCGGTACAATCTACAGTGAGCTTACAGATGTTACAGCTTCCTTTTTGAAAAGTGATTGTCTCAGCTTTGTTAGAGCCATGATTTCCAGAACTTATGTTTTGGTATTGATAGTGAAAATTTCAGAATTTTGTTTGTTTTTCCTATCCAAAAGCAAGCAGTAAAATTATCGGCTTTGTGATACCTCTTTTACTCAACCTCGAGAATGGCTTTCGCCACTTTTTTTGACAAAAATTTATTAAATTGTAGTTTTATTCAGGACCGCGACAGATCATACAAATTGGTGAAAAATCGATTGATTATAACAGTGACTTTCGACTTTATCTGTGCTCGAGGAATAGTCAGATGGAAGTGGACGAAACAGTCAAAGCAGCTGTTGCAAAGATATGCTTCAGTGTCACACAGACTGGTCTTGCTTCTCAAGTTTGCACTTTTGTCACTTCTTGGCATTCTACATGGATTTATATCAATAGTTTTTTAGGGACAAATCTAATTGTTCAGAATGAGTTAAATCACCACGCGCTTTCAGTGCAGCTCAACTGTGCTAGCATTCAAGAAACGGGCTCAGAAACTGCTTAGCCTTTACCAGCTGCTAAATAAGTTTCTGCACTTGTGGTAAGTGGAACGCACACTGTCCATTCAGTAGAATGAAACGTCGGCGTAACGTTCCTTTTTACAGAACTAGGCATTACAGTTAGCAAGATTTCATGAAAATTTTTTGATAAGCAATTTTACTGTAGGCGCTCTTGCTAAGCCTTATAATTGATCTGTTGAGACAATAAACTGATAATTTCTTATCGAGATTATTTAATCACGTATTTAATGCCAGTAAATGCTGCATAGCCCGGTGCTGTTAAAAATCACCAAGAATACCAAGACTGCTTGTGCTACCACTGTGGATGTCTCCGGTTAGTAATGTTACTAGGATGCTCCCATAAGCCAAATGCGGCAATGCCAGGCCCTTCGATCCTGGGCTACTTATCTCCATTTTATGCAAGTGCACCTCCTCTTTTGGGGGTCGCTGAGTGATTTTTTACTTTCTCATGGGCACCGCTCACTAATGCGCATCGCCTACTGGTTGTCGGCGTGGTCTGCGACATGTCTTGCCCATTAGGATTTACTTTCTCGCATGGAAGCAAAGACATCCTGAACGTCGCTCGTCTGATGGAGATGTAGTCGTTTATACGGCCGAGGAGAGGTACGCCGGGCGCAGTGGCATCCATTTAATACCTGAGTTTCTTGGCAGTAGGCTAGAAATTATGAGATGAAATTAATCGTGATTATCGCAGATACTTGGCTTGGCTATAACGATTGAGAAGCCTGACTTGGAAACTCGCTCGAGTGAGCTGATGCGTGAGGCAGAACAAATGAAAATTAAGCTTGATGGCATCGAGCAGTCTCTTTTAAATGTTTGTTTCTTTTTTTCACTTTTTGTTTCGTTTTTATATCAGTTTTCTTTCAGCGAAATGTGCGTGAATTTGGGAACATTGATGGCCGTGATCTAAAAGTGATACATTGAGTTTTTCGGAATGCGGCGGCTTAGGCATTCCTTTGTCAATTTCAAAGCCACTCTCGCTTTCTAAAAACATATTTTTATCAACATGGGATGTGTTTTTAAATCTGAGATCTGTATTACACTGCACCTCGAAACACTGAGCTATTTCAGGCTTTAGCTTCGTCTGAAGGAAGTTTGTTGGATAATGCGAGCTTGCTCGATTCGTTGAACAAAAGCAAAGAGAATGCTGAAACTATCGCAGCATCGTTAGCAGAAGCTGACAAATTGCAAAAACAGCTGATTAAGGTTGCTCGCTTTTATTGCTAACTGTCGTATTTTAGGAGCTGATCGCAGTTTTTATTGCAGGAGAAAGAAGTGTATCAGCCACTGGCGCAAACGGCAAGCACTTTGTATTTTGCCGTTTCAGAACTGCACAAGCACAATCCAGTGTATAATTTCAGCGTGAATACAATCATAACTCTTTACAAACGAACATTCAACAAAGTGACGGTACTTTTTAGCCCATTTTTTGAGCAACAAATTTGACATGACCTATCTGCCACAAGTTTGAGAAGATCAACCTTCATTTCTGTGTTTGCCGAAGAAAACTAACCATTTGTAGCCTTTGCTATTCATAATAGTTTATCTTTCAGGTCATACAGTAATGTCTTCAATTCTCATAGAGAGGCGAAGTGCGCAGTAGTATTAAGTTCATGAAAGGGATATTTTCTGGATTTTGATGATTCTCAGTAACCTACGACCACAGTGTCAAGAGTTTAAATTTCATGTCTTTTCCAGTTAAGTAAGGTCGCTGGTGCTTGATATTCGTTACAGGGAAGTGCTGATGCATTGAAACGGATTGAAGAATTGAGGAACGTTCTTCGGCGTGACGTTTATGAGTACGTATCGCGTGCTCTCTTCAGGAAGGATCGCTTGATGTTTTCTATGCATTTCATCTACAGAACTCAGCCAGCCTTGTTTGCTCAAAATGTTTGTCTTCTTTTCATGTCAAACGAAAAGACAAAACCCTTATGTATTCGTTCGGTTTCTGAGCGACGAAGACGCTTGCTAAGTAATCCGAGTGATACCAAATGGCAACAGCGACCACGCGTTGGCAAGTTTGTCGATGACTTCCTCTGTCAAAAGTTGATAGCGAGTCTAGCAGTGAGATTTTAAAAAAGAATGCCTCGAAGATAAATGAGCTTTTATGCACAGGCTCAGATTTTTTTTTTTCGTTTTTATTCATAGACCTAGGTTTAATTCAAATGAGAATACAAATCAGGAGCTCAATGTAAAGAATGAAGACAGTAGTAAAGGGAAAAAGACAACCCAGCACTACAAAGAAAAGTAAACTAAAGCAAAGCTGGGTGCAGGAATAAACCTGTTTCTATGAATAAAAACAAAATAAAAAAAAATCCGAACCTATATAAAAGCAAAAAAAATGAATCTGTGTGAGTGGAAATTATCGTGAAAATGCTCGCGGCCAGTAGGGAAATTATGAAGTTCCTGCTTAGGCGAAGCTAATAATTCCAGTGTGTTGCCTTCAGTAGTCTGCGATTGTGCACAGCACTTACACACCTATCTTTCCTCTCCAAAGTTTCTCAGAAGCAAAGGCCGATTTCAACCCCATGCATCCAGTCTACCCGCTCACTTCATGTTCTGTAATCGAATTCATTTACTCTCACCTTCACCTAAGCACTAGCGTCATAAATTAGGAAGTCCCCTACTAAAGGCGAATTTTTACAGGACAATTTCTAAACTTATAGATTTAG